CTAAGACGAGGAGGTTTCACGCAGGCGTGGGGGGGCAGCCTGAGCTCAGATCTAGACAGTACCCCTTAGCCGTTGCTCCTTATGTGCCATCTTCAAAACTGGCAGCTTTGAACAACCACCAAGTATTAGGTCAGCCCGTGTGGCAGACAGTGCACTGGGTTCACCTGGGAAGTTTCCCTGACCCAGACTGGATTGCGTTGACCTCATCCACCATTGCTGGTGGCATGTAAGGTCAGGTGCTAGCTCTGCTGGGCCACCCTGTGTCTCCTCCCTGTGGCCTCTCCTCCCCAGGTGACTGGCCTGGACGTGTTCACGTGGTGGCTCAGGCTCCAAGGTCAGCAAGAGAAGGCTAGTTCCAATGTGCAAGCACTTTTCAAGTATCTGCTTGTATCAGGCTTGTTCGTAACCATCGGTCAAAGTGTGAGTCATGTGACCTACCCAGATTCAGCCGGTGGAAAGCAAACTTCATATCTCTTTATGAGACTGCAAGACTTGACTAATTTTTTTTTTTTTTTTGCAAACTCCCACAGATGGGATATGTTTAAGATATTTGTGAACCTCCTAGGCAGAGATTACCAGTGGTCAATTAGGTCCCAGCAGACAAACTACCCGGCAAAGGCAACCAACCTAAGGATAAAAGGGTTTATTTTGGCTGGAGGTCAGCTTTGGGGACACCAGTCCCTTGTGCTGTTGTACTGAGAGAGGATGAGTCATTTTTAGACTGTGCACATACTCTAATAATTAAAGCTGACCTTTGTGGCAAAGTTCTGTGCTAAACACTTTCTTCGCCTTAGGTTCAATGAGTGCTTGAAACAGTAAGCAGGGGCAGAGAATGAAGAGGAGGGGCTCTGGGCTTGGAACCATGGCTCGCTCTCTTTTCTGAGACATTGAGCTTTTCCCTGGCAAAAACCCAAGTGTTACATTTTTAAAGGGAGGGAAAAAAAAAATCTCAGATCAAATACATTTCCCGTCACAGAACAGGGCTCGGCGCCAGCACAAAAACCCTTCTTCGGAGTGAAAATAAGTAAATAAACAACTCTGTTTACAACAGAGAGTTCTGAGAGCCAGGGAAGCTACACCCTGAATCACCGGGTAGGAGGACACACACCTGCAGTTCTACCTCTCGAGGGCCCAGAGCGGAAGGATTACAGGTTTTAGGCAGTCCTAGGGCTGGCTGCATAGTGAGACCTTGTCCCTAAAGTAAAAAGAAAAAGGAGAGGGGCACAGGGGACAGAAAGGCAGGAGTTCCCTGTTTACAATTCCCACTCCTCTAGCTGAGAGTTCAGAACCGGAGGTGATGTGGTGAGGTGATTGATGCGCTACCACACCTTGCTTGCCGCCCTCCCTCCCCAGTAGCCTGCGCGCTGCGTTGTGAGGAAGGTACTCTCTTCATCCTCAGAGAGGAGGGGGATTAAGCAAGACCAAAGGTGATTTTGTTAGATGAGCTGACGTGGTGCCTTCCTTACTTCTCTCCTCCGCTCCCAGCTTGAGGATACAGCCCATCCTGGTGAGGCAGTCGGGGCAGGAGGAGGCAAGTCAAATAATTCCATCTGAGGTAGCGTGGTTGGGATCTGAATTCAGACTTGTTCCAACCCCGTGGCCCCCTATTGTATAGCTAGTGAGCTGGCCACTGCATTGTGCTTGGGGGTCATTGACCGTGAGCCACAATATGCTTGCTATAGCAGGGACCCCTTAGGAGGGCTCAGGATCCTACCACCTTCATGTATGGTTGGATAAGATGGCCACAGCCAGGGTTGGGTCCTGGATTCTGCTTTTGTTGAGCAGTCCGGGGTACCATTTCAGACACATCCTCCGGGACTAGGTGAAGTGAGGACATCTCTTCTACAACAGGAAAATCTGTTGTCCCCCAGAAGTCTCACCTTGAAATGGACACAGTGGAAACACTGCAGAGTTGCTCTGGCTGAGCTGGCAGACCAGTCTGCCTGCTGCCCAGCCCTCTGGAGTGGCCCTGACACAGTTTTGACCCAGGCAGCTGGAGATACAATTCTACCTCGTGCAGCCCGAGTTCTCTTCAGAGACCTTTACCTGGGTGAAGCCAGCAGCTTAACTTCCACTGTGGAAAAGGATCTCAGGAGCAGTCAGCACGAATCAGGATTGGAGGTGTGCAGGGCTGGAAAGCATTCTGACAAAGTTTTTTCAGCTGAGTCTCTGGAGAAAAGACCTCCACCTCTCAAGAATGAGCGAGGAGAAAGCCCCAAACCACCCAGGGCTCCTATGGGAATCAGTATCATTGCAAATAAAGATCACTGCGTCCTGAGGCATCACTTAGATTCTATGACTTCGGTGCTCTCTGAGGACTTGTGGACTGCCAGAGTCACTTTTGCTGACCTCACTCAGCTCACCTAAATACACAGACCTTCTTTCCTGGATGCCAGATGGTGTTCTGGCTGCAGCAGGCAAGTGGAGCCTGTGGCAGACAGGCTCCGTGGACATGTCAGCCGGATCTGGGCCCCCAAATTCCTAGGGAGCTTAGAGCTTGGAACAGACCAGAAGGTGACAAGTAGCAGAGGTGTCCTTGGGGAGAGCTACTGCTCTCTGTATCTTATTCCCCAGCCCAGCCTTGGCAGACACTAGACTCTAAATGGATTTGCCGTTCAGCTTTAAGCCCATTGATTCCGTACTGACTGGAAACCAGCTCATTTGTTATGAGTATATTAGTGAAAAGAACAGATTGCAGAACATGTCATCTGTCTACCTGTCTGTCTGTCCACGGGGGTGAAGCAGCCACTTTCCATTGCTTGCTCGTGTTGTTGCAGCGTTTCGAAGGGAGCACAGCCAATTGCCCTTCAGGAACTGGCAGTTAATTGAGGGAGACTAATGTGGGTCGATGAATTACAAAACAAACAGAGAGGAAGAGGAGCCTACCGGACATGCCGCTGGTCTGTTTCTACCTGTGTGGGGCCTCCCCGTTCTTTGTTTTGCCCAGCCATCATTTAGAAACAAGCCACCCTGTGCCTCTTCAGCCCTGACCTCTGACAGTATGTGCGTAGGTGTGTGGGTGTGCATGTGCCTTCTCACACGCCGGCAGACTACAGCCCCTCGCTCTAGGCTGGCTACAATGCCTGCTTAGTTTTTGCTCCTCCTCAGAGATGTTCTTCTTCTCCATCCCTATTTTGTTGTTCTTGTTGTTCATTTGTTTTGTTTGCTTGTTGTTTGTTTTTTTCCTTCTTTGTTGTATCTGCATTGCTATTTGCTTTGAGGCAACTAAACTGGAGGCAAACTTGAATGAACTGTGGAACTGGATGGACAAGGGATTTGAACCTTGAATGGCAAGGCTGTCCCTCCATTTATGATCAGGCTACTATTTCATTTTCCTTGAATCTTCTAAGAAAGTCAACATCCAGAAACTGAAGGTGGGGAATTAGGCCCCGATGAAGGGACAAGCAGCTCAGGAGGCTCACAGTCCCCACACTTCTTTCTAACTTTCCAGTTATGTCTTATAGTCCCATCATGACTCCTATCCCACCCGGCCCCCGCCCCTCCCCACTCCACCCAGCAGATAAACAGATGGCTCATTACCATTCAGAAAGCCGAATCTAGGTTTCTTAGCAGGAACTGGAGGTGGTTCTGCTGCAACTCCTCTTGTTTGTTTTCAGAGATCTCTCTCCCAGCCCCCTGTGCTGGGAACTGAACTCATAAAGGCCAGATAAGAGCTCTACCACTGAACTTCAATCCTAGGCCCAGAGATTCCTCTCTTTTGCCATGTTCCAGGCACAATGCCCGCCCCCCCCCCCACCTCAATCTTTGCTGCTTCTTTTGCCTGGTATTCATTCCCCAGCTCTCCACTAGGGCAGCTCCTTTTTATCATTTTTATATTGAGTCAACATAACAAAGGTGTCTTGTGAAGCCATGTAGGGAAAGCTGGTGACATGGTCCTGGTCCTAGTCTCAATCAGTCGCTGTGAAAACAAAACAAAACAAAACAAAAAAAACCACCCTGAGCAGAAACAGTTAGTGGAAGAAAAGGCTTATTTGGCTCATGACTTCAAGTTATAGTCTATTATTTCAAAGAAATGATAGGACCTGGACACTGATCACATCACATCCAGTCAAGAGCAGAGAAAAATGGACCCGCCTATGCTGTCTGCTTGCTGCTCAGCCATTTCTGTCTGCTCTTATGCTGTCTGAGGGCCCAAACTGGGGAATGGGACCACCTGCATTCAGGATAAATTTTCCCACTTCGAGTAGTAATCAAGACTCTACCTCCCCACACACCCACCTTATAAAGACAATTACTCGGTTGAGCTCTCTTCCATGGTAATGTTAAGTTGTGGCAAGATGGTATTTAAGACTCTTGTACAAGCCCACATCTGAGGGGACAAACAGACCCTTCTTTATATTACTAAGTAGCACATTTTACAGTGCTTCTGGAGCCTGGACAGGTAAGGCGTATGGGATACCAGAGATCAGGCTCTAGATGTCTAATCATTAAAGTATCTGAACTTTGCTCTTAATTTGGGCCTTTATCTCTACCAAAGGGCCTTATCAGAGGTGCCTTTCTAATCAGTCTGGAAGACTGAATGTCTCCTCCTCCTGAGTCTTTCTACCGAGAGTCCTTGTGCAGGCTAGCGGGACCACCAACTTCCAGGGAGTCTTCTGTCTGCATCCCACTTCCCAGTCAGGGAGCTAGGATGACAGACACAGGAGCAACTGTGTCGAGCTACGTGGTTTCTAAACTCAGGTCTTCACACATATGTGCCAAGCGCTTTACCCACTAAGATATCTCCCGAACCCCACTTCATTGATTCGTAAGCTAGAGGCAAGGTGTCTTACTGGCCATGCAGCAGTAGACCCTTCTAGAATAAGTGCTCAAGGAAAGCAGGGCACCTGTCAACTTTTCTCAGTCTACAATGGCGCCAGGCACCTACCAGCTAATTAATAAACTTAGGTGGGCAACTAAGTGATTACCTTGCGTAAGAGGGACATTCCCATCTGGGTCCCTATGAAAGCATAGATGACTGTATGCTGCTTTAATTGTAGACAGAATCCTTCAAGCTGAGTGAACCTTACAGCCAGTGCACGGAGGATGGCAGTGATGTGCCCATCACGAACATCTACAACGCTGCTTACTCCCTCCAGGTATGGCATGGCAGAGGCCCTCATCTCTGGGTTGCAGCCTGAATCCAAAAGATGAAGTTGTATCTAGGCTGAGGTGTGCCCTAAGACCAGGAACTAGGGTAAGGATAGCTGGGGTTGGTCCAAAGACCTAAAGTACAAATGATGCCAGCTGATTCCAGTCTTCTTCGGTCCTCTGTAACCAGAGCTTACTTGACTCACTGAGGTCTGTGTGGAACACAATGTACAAGGCAGACAGATCTACTTGCTAAATGGAGCTTGGCAAGGGATAGACAGGAGGGAAACCTTTAGCAGGAGACACTGCCTGAGGGGTCAAAAGTTTGGCTTCCACGTATATCTGTGCCCCAGGACTTGGGCGGGTTGTATCCCCTTGACAGTCACAGAGCTGTGCTGGGTCAGGGTGAGCTCGTTAGCAGCTCCTGGACTACTCCAAGCTGCACACTGATTGCTCCAGTGAGAATGGCATTAAAAAAATCAGGGAAGGACACAAGAAAATCCATACTCCTAGCTTCTCTTGGGGAGAAAACAAACAACAAACAAAATGAAGTGATCTGGGATCTGAGAGCCCATATCCTGGCAGGATAAGCCACGAAAAGAGCCGCCACATTAAACAAGCTATAGATTGACTATTATCCGCAGATCTGCCCCCCCACCCCGTAGCATATGAGATCACTGGCCTTACAGACATTGCAGTTTCCAGCCCTTAAGTTCAATGAGTGTTGCAGCTATTCCAACTACTCCCATAGGCTGGAACTCTGAATTCGGCCTCCTGTTAGAATGCTAGAAAGCCCACAGATATCATCTTGGCAGAATCGAAACACCAAGGGGGGAGGGAGGAGGACAGACAGGTGGCTCAGACAGTAGGCCACTTGCCTCAGAAAGGATGGGTGCATGAGTTCAGATTCTCAGAATCCACATGAAAAGGCAGGTGTGTGCCTAGCAATGGCAAGATGGGACATAGAGACAGGTGGGTCCCTAGAAGCTCACCAGCAGCTAACACGGCCTGTATGGCAAATGAAGCTCCAGGCCTTTTTCTGTCACTTGAATGCCAACACCAAGGTGAACGGGGAAACTAAGGCAACTACTAATCCACAGGGTCCTGAGAGTCCAATACTCAGTGCCAAGTCTCCCACGTGGGTCTTTCAGGATTATGACCACGATACCCGGGAAGATTCTACTACAGAGTAGCAGCTTCACAGCAGATTCAAAGCTCAGTGGTTTTTGTTTTTGTGGGTTTTGTGTTGTTGATGTTGTTTCTTTGGTTTGGTTTGGTTTTGCTTTGCTTTTTCTGAGACAGGGTCTTATTTTGTAGCCCAAGATGACCTTGAACTTACTATGTAGCTCAGGCTGGCTCTCCAAGTTGCTATGCTCCTGCCGCTGTTTTCTGAGGGCTGGGATTATAGGTGTGCAACACCACAACTGGCCCAGATATCAGTTTTGATATCTGTCTTCTATGTGCCCTCAGGCGAACCTCTCAGATCTCTGCTGTGTCTTTTTTCCTCCCTGAGTCAAGTACAGTACTACTCCAGGAGACTGTGGTGAGCGTGGGATACATGAACATATTAAGCTATTTTTCCTCAGTAGCTTAGCGTTACCCAGGGCATTGTTTTTATGATTGTAGCATGGATTCTTGTCAGCACGGAATTCATGAATTCAATCAGCACTTGTCAGCACTCTTGTGCTAACAGTGCTTTCGTGAGTATCACCTCTTAGCTCAGTTCTGATGGAGGCTGAAGGATTCCATGCTGGACATCCTGAAAAAAAATTTTTTTTTTTATATTTTAACCTTTTTTTTTTTCTTTAGTTTTATGTGTGCATGATTTGGCCTGCATGGTTAAAAAAAAAAAAAAAAGGCTTTGGAATGAAAGACATGCAGGCACAGAGCCCTCCAAGGAGGTTAAGAACATTCCTGGGTATTCTCTTTCAGATCTGTCTTTATTCGTGCTTCCAGACGAAGATGGTGGAAAAATGTGGCTGTGCCCAGTACAGCCAGCCTCTTCCTCCAGCAGCCAATTACTGCAACTATCAACAGCACCCCAACTGGAGTGAGTGAGCCCACCTCCAGCCTTCTGCATCCCGGGAGGGAATCAGCTTGGCCCAGCTTCCCAGCGATGCTCTTGAGCCCCTGTCCTTATTGTCTTTTGCCTGAATGGGCGTTAAAGGCCCTTTCTATCACCAAGCCTGGCTTGGATTGTGCTTTTCAGTTATGGGCTAAACGCTGCACTCTAGCCTGTACTAACAGCTAACCAACACAATTAACTCTAAAAGGTACTGTTGCCACTGTTGACAGTACTCTTTCACAGAACAGAGAACCAGAATGATTAAGTCACTTACCTGAGGACACACAGGCAGGAAGTCACAGAACTCGACCTAACCTCTAACCCCACTCACAGTGGTTTTTTTGTTTGTTTTTATTTTGGGTTGCTTTTTTGTTTGTTTTGTTTTGTTTTGTTTTGTTTTTTTGAGATAGGTTTTCTCTGTATAGCCCTGGCTGTATTAGAACTCACTTTGTAGACCAGGCTGGCCTCAAACTTAGAGATCCACCCTGCCTCTGCTTCCGAGTGCTGGGATTAAAGGTGTGTACCACCACGCTTGGCTTCCAACTCATATCTTTAAACCAGGAAATGATACCATTTTCTAACTCACAAACAAGAATTGGTTCCCTCCTCCCCCACCAAAATCTCCCAGCATTTGTAGAAGGTGCAGAAATACATAATTAGCAGGAGATGATGGCGTCTCTACAGGTGACTCTAGGAAGGGCGCTGGGTCCCCAAAGTTTATACTTTCTTCTGCCCTGTCTCCAGTGTATTGCTACTACCAGCTGTACCAGGCCTTTGTCCGGGAAGAACTGGGCTGCCAATCAGTGTGCAAGCAAGCTTGCAGGTGAGTAGCCCTGGAGAGTTGGGGCAGGCAGGGCTGTGCTAGGCCAGGGGCTTGTGTTCATTCTGTGGCCTTCTCCCCTAAGCTTTAAGGAATGGACGCTGACCACCAGCCTGGCACAGTGGCCATCTGAGGCTTCCGAGGTAAGCTCTAGACCCCACCCCCACCCCTGGAGCCCTTGGTGTCTTCCTGTATTCTACCATGGGGGGACAGAGTAGAATGTACCCAGGTGGATAGATCTACACTGCCAAGGCGAGCGAAGGGGGGTGTGTATGACTGAGGAAGAGGGCAGTGGGTAGCCTTAGGCCCACTCTTTTCTTTCTCTGTCACAGAAATGGTTGCTGAATGTTCTCACCTGGGACCAAGGCCAGCAAATAAACAAAAAGCTCAACAAGTAAGTTTACCTCCACCCAGTTCCCTCAGCCTCTGTCTGCCACAGATTCTGGGCCCTTCGCTTGCTTCCTCGTTGCCAAGCCCTCTCCTTTTCATTCACTCAATCGTTTAGTCAACAAATATTTACTGAGCTCCTATCATGAACCAGGCACTGTTCAGGCTTTTGTTTGGCCACGATCCACCACATGAAATACATTTTGCATTGTGGCCCATTGGGTCTATAACCGGAATAAAGCATGCAACAGTGTTTCCTCAAGAAGGACAAAGCACTTGGGCTGATTTTCAGATGACATGCAATGCTCTGGCCAAACCAATTGTTTACAGTTGTCTTTCTGTGCCCTCTGGGGATCTGTTCCACGACTCTCCGTGAATACCAAAATTCCTGAAAGCCCAAGTCCTGTATGAGAAACAGTACATGTTTGCATATAACCTACCGCATCCTCTCCTCCGTTTAAGTCATCTCTAGATCACTTGTCATGTTCAATGTGATGTAAATGCTATGGAAATCACTTCCATATCGAATTGCTCAGGGAACCTGAAAAGAAACAAGTCTGTGCATGTTCAATCCGGATGTAATTATTTTTCATCTCAAAAAATTTCCTTCCCTGCTTGGTTGAACATATGTTTCCAGAACCAATAGACACAAGAGGGAAGGTGGGTTTCCATCCTAAATGGTTACCACACACCAATCTGATTGGTTAGTACCTGTACTGTTTTCAACTGGCAAACACTTTAGATATGCCTTTCAATATATTCTGATAGCTCTTCATCTCTGTTCTTTATGTTTGGGTTTTTGTTTTTGTTTTTGTTTTGTTTTGTTTTGAGAAAGGATCTTATATAGCCCAAGTTAGCTTCAGTGAATGACCTTAAACTCCCAATCCTTCTGTCTCTACCAACAAGTACTAGTCTACTCAGTTATGTAACATGTACTACCATAGCCCACTAAACTTGTAAATTCACACTCTGGCCATTACCATGTCCCAGCTTAGGGTCTTCCCCTGTAAAAGCCGATTTGGTCTCCAACTCATAGCATCTCATTAAGGGCCAGGTGGTATGCGAGCTGTTGGAAGAAAATGGGTGTTCAGGTGACCAAGCATACTCTCTAACCCCCATGGGGTTTGCAGTGAAAAGATAAAGATAGAATTTGCCCATTGGTAATCCCAAAACTTTGGAGCCAAGGTAGGAGGGTTGAGAGTTCATGGCCAGCTTAGGCTACACCTCAAATAAATATAACAAATAAGAAACAACAATAAAAATAGAACGAGACTGAGCATTTGCAATCAACTGTTGCCAACCAGTGACCCCTAGCCAAACCCAGCTCCGTAAACACAGTCCTTTATTTCCCGCTTTTCCGGAAAGATTAAATGTCCTACAAACATGTGACTTCCATTCTTGCATCACATCAAATGGCTACGGAAGAGTGAAGTCTCAGAATGAGCGTGAACCTTCCAGTTCACCATTGTCCTATCAGGAGAGGGTATAGAATGGTAGTTGAGGGCATGGCCTTGGAGCCAAATGGGCCTGGCTTTGAACCAGCTCATTCAACAGTCAGTTATGCAATGAATGAACCCAATCTGTGTCTCAGTTTCCACGATGGTGTTAGCAGAGGGATGATGAAAACACAGCTCCCTACCTCAGAGAGACATTGTGAGAATCTCATTCATTCATTCATTCAAGGGTTTTCCAACAGTGTTTGGCAACACTGAAAATGCCTAATAGAAGCTAGATGCTATTATACTTATTATCACTATTGCCTTAGCTTGGACTTGCGCCACCTACTGGTCTCCTATATGAGTCTGGGACTGAGATTGCAATCAAACAGTTACCAATGTCAAAATCTAATACAAGGGTGGCTGGGTGAACTGGCTTCCTCTGTGGGTGAGAAACAGTTGGATTTTTTGTTTGTTTTGGGGTTTCTTTGTTTTTTTGTTTTTTTTTTTTTTTTCTGGTGAATGGGTGGCCAGAGACCCAGGCCTGTCTTACTCGGGGTTCCTATTGCTTCAACAAAACACCATGATCAAAAAAAAAAAAAAGCAAATTGGGAAGGAAAGGGTTTATTTGGTTCACACTTCCACAATGCTATTCATCACTGAAGGAAGTCAGGACAGGAATTCAAACAGGGAAAGATCCTGGAGGCAGAAGCTGATACAGAGGCCATAAAGGAGTGCTGCTTAATGGCTTGCTTTCCTTGGCTTGCTCAGCCTGCTTTCTTATATAATCCAGGACTACCCAGCCCAGTGGTGGCACCACCCATCATGGGTTGGGTTTTCTCCCATTGATCAGTAATTGGGAAAATGCCTCACACCAGGACCTCATGGAGGCATTTCCTCAGCTGAGGCTCCTTCCCCTCTGATGACTCTAACGTGTGTCAGCTTGACACACAGAACCAGCCAGTGCAAAGCCCAGGTTGGAAAAGTACTCTGAGGCATAGAAAGAGAGCCAGGGAGCAGGTTCTAACAGTCTGAGGAAGTTCAGAACACAGGCCATGGCAGGGGCTTAGACAGGAGGGAAATGATAGCCATACTGAAGAGCTAGCCACCTGGCAGGAAGCCAAGCCTTCCCACCCACCTGATTCCCACCTGTTTGAATTTCTGCAGAACTGACCTGGCTAAGCTCTTGATATTCTACAAAGACCTGAACCAAAGATCCATCATGGAGAGCCCAGCCAACAGTGTGAGTAGTCTGCTTGTCCAGTCTGTTCCCTGCCTATTAACCTCATCTAGGAAAGCAGTCAGTTTGTAGGGTTCTGACCTGATGTAGGACGGATGCCAGAGGCCAACCGTGCCTCAAAGAGGAAGCCCAGAGTGAGAGGAGACAGGCCTGCTGCTGAGGCCAATTTGGAGAAGCCTCTCATCCCTCCTTTCTTGAGATAGTCTCACCAGGTATCCCAGACTAGCCTTGAACTGGCAATCTACAGAAGGATCCTTCTGCCCCTGCCCCCTGAGTTCGGGGCTGTGGGCATGTGCCCCCACTCTCGGCCTGGGGAGGTCCCTCTTGAAGTCACAGCACAGTCTTCCTTGCAGATTGAGATGCTTCTGTCCAACTTCGGTGGACAGCTGGGCCTGTGGATGAGCTGTTCAGTCGTCTGCGTCATCGAGATCATAGAAGTCTTCTTCATCGACTTCTTCTCTATCATCGCCCGCCACCAGTGGCAAAAAGCCAAAGATTGGTGGGCCCGTAGGCGGTCACCTCCCTCCCCCGAGACTCACGCCAGCCAGCAGGGCCAGGATAATCCAGCTCTGGATATAGACGATGGCCTGCCCACTTTCACCTCTGCAATGCGCCTGCCTCCAGCCCCAGGGCCCACAGTACCTGGCACGCCACCCCCCAGATACAACACCTTGCGCTTGCATAGTGCCTTTTCCTCCCAGCTCACAGACACTCAGTTGACCGATGAGTTCTGAGGCAGGATTGGAGGGACAATCATGGTCTGAGGAAACTCTCTTCCTGACACAGAAGGGCCCTCCTATCCTGGCTCTGGGCTTTTTGATACATGACTTACAGCCTGCTGTGAACAGAACAGCGCCAGGAAATCTGCAGAAGGACCTGATGGGTCCTTCCCCAACACTCCTAACTTCCAGGATGAGCTAGATTCTACAGCCTGGACTCTGCAGTTCTGAGCTAGAGAGCCAACAGTAACGGCCTGGGCCAACGGTGAGCTCTTCACAGGATCCTGAGAAAGAAGCGTGCTTCCACAGCCCCAAGCTCAAGAGTTTACCCACAATACCCCTGGCCTAGGTTGCTGCCCAAGCACGTGATCTTGGGTAGCAAGGCTGGCCAGCCATTGCCTGGCATGTGTGACAGAAGAAATTACCACCGGCCTTGGATCCCAGCTGTTGGTTGCTAACCTAGTCATTGACATGGGGACAAGGTGTCCTCTCTGCCCTGCCCAGAGCCAGGGAGCATGTTTGGAGAGGGCACAGTAGAGAGGCCAATGGGTGTGGCAGGATGTCCCTACACTGGCATCAGGGTGGGGCAGTAGAGAAAGGCCAGTTAAAGGGCATAGCTAGACACTCCTGACAAATAGTACTCCCATGATCTCAATTCAAGAATGGAATGCTGGGAGCTGTGCTAAGCACGTACAAAAGTCCCCTGAGGGCATAACATTCTATCTTTGAGCTGAATATGTATGTGTGAGTGTATGTGTGTGTGAGTATGTGTGTATATATGTGCGTGTTCATAATTTTTATATAGCTAATATATATGTATATATCAAAAAGAGAATATTTTGTGACTTGTGAAGATTACATGTGATTCAAATGTTAGTGTCTATAAATAAAGTTTTATTGATACATGGCTATGTCAATTTATTTATACTTTGTTCGAGGCTGCTATGAATTAACACATTAAACATTAAAACATTGGCCTTTTCAAGAAATAATTTGCTGACTCCTGAGTCAATTAATCTAAAAGGTGCAGAAACTAAGGTAGGTTATTTGCTCAAGATGACATAGCCAGGAAGCTACAGATCTGAGATTTGAATCCAAGTAGCTTGACTTGCTGGCATGAGTATTGTCATTCCCTTATCCTGAATGCAACCCCTGCATGCATCAAGAATGAAGCTGATGTCACTTGGAGTGCAAAGACAGGGAGGCTTAGCCCACAGGATCTAGACTAGAAGTAGATCCTTTGTGCACAGATCAGAAGGACCTGCAATTGGAGACTCGCTGACACACTGGGACAGAGACTGATGGAATTCAGCATCTTCATGAAACAGAGGCTTCGGGGACCCTATGTGAGCTAATGACACAGGTTCCACACCATGCCTGTTCCTGTATTCGCCACTTCTGCCCCATGTGGGGATGCTACTGATTCTCAGGGGGTCCGCTAACAGGAAGGAGGTCATGATGATTCCAGGTGACATGGCCCTCCCCTGGGGGCATGGGCTGCTGCAGGAAAGTATCACGGGCATAAGACTGGCTGGGCTCCTGGTGGCTTCCACTGGTGCTGACAGGGAGCACGCAACAGATGCTCACTTGGGCACCGATCAAGGAAGAGCTGGGGACTGTGCCTTCAGATTCGTGGAACTGGCCAGCCTTGGCTTGATGTCACCCAGCAGGAACACTCCCAGCAAGGCTGAAGTTGCTGCTGGGTGTGTCAAAGGGGAGACCAGCAGCAGCTGGCTTAATTGTGCTCTGGTAGATGGGCGTGAGCGCCTCCTGGCTCCAGCCATCTCCATGGCTGCTGGACTCCTGCCGCGTCGCCTCTTCTCCTTTTCCATTCACCTTTCCAGGACAGATGCAAAAGTCACCACCTCTGCCAAGCTTTCCCTTGTCCCACGAAGTTGAAGGTTTTACCATTACACGCCGTTCACTCCCTGGTATAAGTTTTTCATCCACTTGTGTCTGTCATTAGACCATGAACTCTATGAAGACAGGGATCATATCTTACCTCTTTGTACCCAGACTGAGATAGGACTGAACACAGAGTTGACGTTTAATTGTACAAAGCTTCTAAGAACGATAATAATTGGGCTGGCAAGGTGGCTCAGTGGTAAAAGGAGCTTGCAGCTGAGCTAATGATCTGGGTTTGATGCCTGGAATACATATCTAGAAGGAGAGAAACAGCTCACTCAAGTTTCATCTGACCTCCACATGTTCACCACTGCATGTTTGCCCATACTAAACAAACAGGTGTAATTAAAAAAACAAACAAACAAATGAACAGTAAGAATGACACAGTTTTTCGGCTCTTACTGTTTCCTAGGGATTCTGCTCAGTGCCTCCCCTACATCAGCTTCTATAATGCTGGTCCCTAGGATACACTTGCGAATAAGAAACAGAAGCACAGCAATTTCTCCTCTAACCACACAGCTGGTACTTCATGAGTGCCACCCAGTAGTAGAGCCTTCGGGCTTAGCCACCAGCCACCCTGCAGACTGCCTTTCACTTTGGAAGCTTCCTCCCAGAGGTCAGGCTTATCTGCCCCTGAAAAAAAAAAAAAACAACAAACAAACAAAAAACATCACTGGTCCCCTGGCTTTATGTCCAGAGGCCTTCCTATATCCAGACAACGAAGAAGACAACCCCACAACCCAAAAAGCGTCTCCTAATGATTCAGAGACTAAGAACCTGCACCCCAAAAGGTGGTATCAAATAAAAACTTTTCCAGACTGGAAATATAGCTCAGCTGGTAGAGTATTTGCTAGCCTGTAAAAACCCCTGGGTTCAGTTCCTTGTACTGCTTAAGCCTGGGATGAAGGTACATAATTACAGCCCCAGCCACACTCAGCTAGACAGTAAATCCAAGGTCAGCCTGAAATACATGAGCTTCTGTCTCAAAAAAAAAAAATGTTTTAAGACCCAAGCTTGTCTGAGGTTGAAACTCAGGAGAGAGGTCCAGGTCAGACACAGAGGCATGACTGATGTGGGAGCCAAGAGTGTGAACTGGGCAGGGGCAAAAGGGGGTGCTGGAGAAATGGTTCAGCAGTTAAGAGCACTGGATATTATTCCAGAGGATCCTGGTTCAATTCCCAGCACCCACACAGCAGCTTGCAACTCTGTAACTCCAGTTCAGGGGTATCTAACACCCTCCCACAGACATGCGTGCAGGCAAAATAAAATAAAATAAATTATTTTTCTAAAAGTGTGAACTGGGTCACCATGAAGGAAAACAGTCACTTCCTCAGTCAGAAGGGGAAGAGAAGCAGCAGAAGAACACGGGACGTTTCCAGAAAAAAGGGCAAAGCAACCTAAGACTCCCTACTCCCAAATGCTCTCCTTCTTTTCATCCCTACTCCGGGATACTGCAGAAGGATGTTTCCAAGCGACAAATGTGGCACATGATACTTCCCACTTAGACGTTTCTTCATCACCTGGGCCAGGTTTCTGGACTCAATGTAGGGCAAGGATGCTAAGTGACAGGAGGGTTTCACTGCCGCGCCTGCCACACCCCGTTCCTTCACTTTCTCCACAAATTCTCCACTCATTCATTCATTCACCCATCAAGACTAGGTACACAGATGCTGCCAAGTCTTAGACAGTGAGCTTTTGACCTAGCAACCTGGAATATTACTCGGTGTTGACGGACAGAATAAATAAACCATGCCATTTCCAACTGTGCAAAACAAAAATGCCAGTTTGGTGAAACTGGTCTTTAGCACTTTAATTCTGTTGACCACTTTGTGTGTGTGTGTGTGTGTGTGTGTGTGTGTGTGTGTGTGCGCGCGCGCGCGCGCGCGCGCACGTGCATGTGGTGCATGTGCAGAAGGCCCAGAGTTTGATGGCCAAGTGAGTTCCTCGGTTGCTTTTCATCTAATTTTTGAAAAACAAGCCAAAATGGATAAATGGATAATGGAAATGTGGCACACATACACAATGAAATTTTACTGAGCCATAAAGAAAATTGAAATTTGTAGAAAAACGGATGGAGCTGAAAGGTATCAGCTTAAGCATGGTAATCTGGGCTCAGAAGTACACAGTATGTTCATCTCATGTGGGGATCTCACCTCTAACTGTTAAATTTTCGTCTTTAGGAGGGTAGGTGGACAAAGGTCAGGAATTTAGAGAGTGGTGCTTGGGGTTGGAGAAAAGGGAGCTAAAAGGCAGAGTTGGGGAAGACGAACCAACAAAATGAAAGGGGATAGCAGAGGTGAAAGGGGCAGAGATCACACAGGAACCTGTGACTTCACAAGCCAGTTCAAAATGGAGCAGCTTCCAGAAGTGAGAGCTCATTTTGGTGCACGATTAGGGAGTGTGTTCCATCATGCTGAGGTGGTGAATGCCGGTAATCCCAGGGCTGGAGATCAACAACCGAATAGCCAGACCCTGCCTCAAAGAAAGGAAACAACCATCATAGTTAGAGTCAGTCAGTGGCAGAACAGAGTGGCCAGTGCTGTGAGAAGAGAGACCCCAGGATGCTGTGGGGGAGGGGCAGGCCCCTGGAGAAGGTGTTGGCTAAGAGAATCAGTTTTACTAGAGAAAAGATAATGTTTTCACTCACGGTTTCAGAGGCTTCCTTTCAAGGTTGATCCAAGGATCTGATGCTTTGGGCCTAAGGGGAGGCAGAACATATTGGCTTGCAAGAGCAGACTGCTCACTATGACAGACAAGAAACAGAGAGAGAGGGAGGGGCTTGGGACAAGTGACCTTTCTAAAGCTTACCCTTTTTGACAATCAGGCCTCACCTCCTAGAATTTTCACTTTTACCCAAGTAGTGCAACCAGCCGGATACCACGTTCTCACTCAACACATGAGCCTATAGAGGACATTTTTACCTTCAAAGTTTAGCAGTGAAACAATCATTCACTCAGATAAATAGATCCTGGAGCAGAATGTTCTGGACCACAGGAAATACCAGCACTGGCAAAAATTACTGCCTTTTATGATAGAATATTATTCTGTCACTAAAAAGGAATGAAGTTGGGTCAGCAAGCAAAGGCACTTGACACCGAGCCCGAAGATGT